CCCTCTTCCTATTACACACACACACACCCCCCACCACCCCCACCACCATTCTGCCTAAAGGCACTGATCAGCTGATCAGTGGCAGATAGGCAGCCCCCCCCCCAGCCACCCAACCCCACAGCCAATGCCACCACCCCCATTCTCTCCCTACCTTAGCCCCCACCGACACCCCCTTACCTTAATGGATGCCGCCAAAGTCTCCTTCTGGCCTCCCAGCCATGCCATGTAAAAAGAGAGACTAGCTGCCCTTTGCAAAGATGGTGGCTGCAGCTTCATTAAGAGTAGGGAAGCTGCAGCTGCTATTTTTGCAAAGGGCAACCTGGATTCCCTTAATGGGTGGGGGCTAAGTTAGGGAGAGGAAGAGGGTGGTGGGGGAAGGTTGTGGGGTTGGGTGCCTGTGTGTGGGGGGGTGGCTGCCTATCTGCTGCCGAGCACTGATCAGCAGCTGGTAGGCAGAATTGTGTTTTCCTTTTTTTATTTTAAGGAAGGGTGTGTTGGTGGGGGTGGGGGAGGGCTATGGTAGGGAAAAGAAGGGAGTGGGGGAGGCTGTGGGGTTGGGTGGCTGTGGGGTGGTGGCTGCCTATCTGCAGCCGATCAGCTGATCAGCAGCCGGTAGGCAGACTGGTGTTGTTGGGGTTTTTTTTGGTAATACTAAGGACGAATAAAAACAGGTAAATATTCATCCCTTCGTATTTGTGGGGGTCTCTGGAACCCATGAATAGGAAGAAATGAATATTTAGCAAATCAGCTATTTTCATCAAAATAGCCAATCCATTTTTATATTTCTCCCCATCTCTAGTTATGAGTATCCAGGGAATGGGTCAAGGTGAGGTACATTTATTTATTAGCCAGTATCCTGTTAGTGCCAGCATAACATGAAGTTACCCTGGTGTAATGCCCAGCAACAAGGAATCGCCCTCTACAGTTCCACAACCTGTCATGAATCTCTTGTACAACCAACTGGACAATACACCAACAGAAGTGCTTCAGGATAGCACTTCCGCCTTAGCACTAGCACAACTACCATGAGTGCAGTCTCAAACTGTGCGTGCACAATAGGGCTCTGGTCACTATTTTAACATAGATAGATGCAATATATTGTAGTGGCATGCAAATTGCATATAAGTTATGCTAATATATGACATGTTTATGACATA